TAGTCTCTGCTTGTGCCCTCCCCCAAGTTTAAAAATTATGGAAAAAGGAAGTGCATCGAAGTCTCATAATTAATATTTCAAATACCAAGTTTGAACAAAATAAGTATGACTGAGAGTTCTACCGAAATTGCCGAAGTGATCGTTTTTGATAATCGTATGTATCTTTAGATGGCATATACAATTAAGTTAGGAGAGGGAAAATACAGGAACAGGGCTAGGATTAGAAAGTTGGTTGACGGGGCCCAATGGAACTGTTACCAGCTATGATATCCTACATATTAATGTATAGTTCACATATATAGAACATTATTGCAGAATACAAAAGTTATTTTTGTGTCCACATACTACATGCTGCCGGTGGATGGCGCCCTTTCGCCAGTTTTAGTGATTTTGACAGAGCCATATGTTGTACCAGAAGGTTTTAGTACGCTGATTAACAGTAATGTATTTCGACATACAACATATTAAAATTATTAAAACTGCCAAATACCAATTTTTTGATAATCAATTATGCTTATTCTAGATATCAAATTATGAGATGGGATTTACCGTTTTTTTTTTTTAAATACCAATCTAAGTTATCGAGTCGAGTATTCCGGGGTTCTTCGCCGTATCTCAGACTACAAAGAAAGTTTAGCCCCCAAAACCAACGTAGCCCGCAGTGTTGGGCATTGCGATCGTTGATTATGCCATCGGCTCATACATGTACGGCCTTATGACCGTATCAAACAAAGCTGAAGAAATTTTAGAAATATGTGAAATGTCAGATTCATTGGTAGTGGCGCTGCTTACATCAGTTCAATCATGTTAGTACGACCATGATTGCATTGACACGCAGATCGCCGCAAAACCATCGAGACATCCGATCTGATACATACCATACTATTTCGACATTGTGTCAACACAGGTGGCGCTATTCGGTTGATTCGTGACGATATGCTGTCAATGCAATATTTGACCTCCCAATTAACATGCATTTAATGTTAATAAAATAAGACATTCTGATGAGTGTTGTGCGTTATTTTAATTGACCAACGCATAACAGATTAAATCTTGCTAAAATCGGGAGAGAATGTGTTCAAAACAAGAAAAATATTTGTATATAGTTTCGCGGAAGAAATGCTGAGTAAAATGGTGGCGGATGGGTATTTAGCCTTTAGAGGCTAGTTATGCGCCATACAACACAGGTCCGTGTTGAATAGCGCCACCTGTGTTGACAAAATTCAATGGTTGAATGTTCCGCCGGTTTTACCAAAGGAACTTCTCTTTATGACGTCACGATGCTTCAAAAGTTCGATGATCTGGATATGAAATGCGTTCGGAATTCTTCGAAAAGGCGCACAAAAGTCGATTTTCGGCAATATTTTCAAAATAATTCCCAGCTTACAATGTATATTTGTTCTGTGAATTTTGTTTTCATACAAGCACTTGCAATTTACACTTTAATGGACTTCCACTATGACACTATCTGATCTTGGTTGTACTTGGTAAAACTATGCTAACACTTCACGTCTTCTGTTGTATGATTAATACAAAATTGAAACTTTGCACTATTGCATCGTGGTATAATTTTTTATTAATGTCAACTAGATGTAATACAATCTTTTTATATATATATATAAGCTTATAATGAACATAACATGGCCTTGCACAATGTTTTAAGCTGGCCTGTCGCATCTTAAATACAATGATACACTCTTGACATATTGATTATGTGGTTATACTAGCAACTCATATTTGGTGAAATTAAATTTTGTTAGCATTTATATTTTGCAGGTATAAAATGTAGTTGACTACAAAAAGATGTTTTGTCCAGTCGTAATACTGTCGAATGGCGTGAGGGTATTGAAAAAAAAAACATGTGATTAAAGAGGAGCAGTGGAAAAATACCTGTTATCACCATTGTGTTAATTAGATGTTTAATTTGTGTTAGCTGAAGGCAATCTGTCTAGTCACCTAGAATAAAAAAATCACAGTTTTGTTCTGATTTATGTTGCAAATTAAAACATTCAATTGTAATATTCTGATTCATATTTTTTAATTATTTTTGTGCCAGTCCATTTTTTGGTATAATGGCAAATGCTGACAAAAGTGCTTTTAAAAATTGGGACTACTTGACAAGCTATGTAGCCGTCTTCCAATGTCGTCATTTTAATTGAGTATGCGGCAAATTACTGCTACATTAACCAGTTGTCGATATCAATTTACCATTCCTGTTTTTAAATGATTACCAATTTTCCATTCGTAATTTATAATTTGAAATTACCTTATAACCACGAGTGGCAATAGTAGCATAACTGTTTGTTGCCAAGCCGATCCATTAATATTTCAATATATTTTAAGAAAGCTTGTCAAGGAGTGATATTTATATTGTACTAGTGATGGTGAATTTCATGCCAAGTTCAATGAGATGTATCAATATATATTTATATTTTATTATTAAGTGTTTAATAGTACAACTGTAAACACATTGTTTATTTATATTTCTGATATTATATTGAACAAACTCAAGAAGACCTGGACGACCAACTACAAGTCCGCTATAATCATAGACAACTGTGAACAGCATAAAAAGGACAAACGGTAAATGACGACGTCAATTTAAACTCAACCAATATTAGGCATGTGCAATAACCCAAGAAATATTCGGGATGTCGTCATATTACGGATAGACGATATTAGGATAGTGTAACACTGCAAGACTGGCCCGAATGCACCTTGAAAATTGCGATGCCCTAATATGTCAATTGTACACTGGCTATATATATATCGTAGTTTGAATACAAGCGAGAGCACATTTACCATTTGTTGTGTCATCATAGTCTAAGAAATGATGCGAAGATTGCAAGTCTTCGTCTTATGACATTGCTACAATATGGTGTAAGTTGGGAACAAAGTTGAACAACTGGATTACAAGAGTGAATTCTTGGGATACAATATGGCGACAACCAACATTGTGTGTTTCTTTCGATCCGGGTCAGAAGTGAATATCTATAGACATGCCACGTGCAGCCCGGTTAGCCTTTATCGATTCGTGTTCTACACGCTTTTTTCGGAGATCGAGATTGTTTGAGTGGGATTTCACGTCTGCGATTAATAAAGTTTAAATTTACTTACTATATTAAATATTGTTTGAAACTTACAACTTGCGTCCTTTTTACTTGAGACTAAATGTGGATGTGTCGTGTGATATCCTGTCAAACAATGTAGTTAGTTGTGTGTTTCCTTTTTTTAAAGTTTGATTTTGAGTTATACTGTGCCACGGACCAAGATGATTTATAAAAAAGATATAACACTGAGATAAACTATTGAACTATACATCAAATTGAGATGTGGGAATCAATTTGGAATTATTCCGTTACTATTATCAGTTTGGAGTAAAGTGGTCATAAAACGCGCGGCTATTGATTTATTTTGTACAACCATGAAACTATTTTACGATAGAAATATGACAAGGATTCTGCTGTGTGTTATTAGTCTTCCTCGTGTTGGAGTAAAGAAATAAATCCAATATGCCATGTTTTTGCTGATCTGATATATCCTATATATTAGATTTCGAAGAGACATTCATTCAGTTTTATAGCTTTATGATGAAACTGAATAAACGTTCTCAATAATTCTATACAAACTAACTCTGATGCCGTCTAAATCTATCGACAAACACATGAGTCAGCATGTGTTTGTCTTTCTACTTTATCCATGAAACATTGAACATGTCGTCAGAGTTCTTCTGTTAACTTTAGCACATTGCTTTATTATCCAATAAACTGTCACTCCTTAATGACAGTACACAGATAGTGAACTTTAGCATTCAAGACAAAGGCAAGAAGGCAAAAACAACGCTCACTCGATTATAAACAACAATCTTGTCCAGGATGCCAATCCATTTCAGACGTAATCGACATGGTGATAAAGAATATCATAACAGAAGATTGCCGAAAGTGCCAATGCATTTGATGGTGAAGCACATTGATCCGACAACCCAACAGTCCAAAACTACATTGCTTGACTTTTATTGTTTTTCCTTGACCTACTAGTAGTAATATTCTAATAAAAAACGAGCATACATATTACACCATCATGGTGTGTGTGTGAGGGGGGAGGGCATAGTCGATTGAACAGACGATGGCCAAAGGTATCCCGAACTGTTTCGGTGTTTTTCCTTAGGCAGGCATTTCTGTTCTACGAAGGAATGCCAGAAAGAAGTGTATCCTGATAACATCTTTGCGTTTTTACGTACTTTTCACTCGTCTGGTATATTAGTGTCTAGTCAGAGATTAGGTAACGTGGCAAAAGCTATTCATATGCAAAAATGCTTTTCATTCTATTTAATATGGGGAACCACCTACTGAGCAAATAACCCAACAAAGCTTTCAGCAGTGATTTGTATTTGCGTAAAAACCACATGGAGTTGAACAAACTTATGTATTTTATTGAATCATTGAATAATAAAATGTTATATAACTTTTCTTTTACCCTCTTCCTGGTATCGATTTCAAGTAATCATTGATCTTTGTTTATACCACTCTTTCCTTTATCACATTTGTTACGCGCTAATGTTATATGCAAATTTTAATGCGCGATGTAGACACATCCTATTATAGTAAAATATCCCAAGGGTTGAAACGCGCCAGGACGCGTTTTTTTTTTCTTTTCAGTTTGTATGTTCTGTACGATAGATTTTCAGATCATGCAATAAACTTTTTCTGACAGTTTTTCCTGCTGTTAGTTTACGAAACACCTGCAATCAAAAGGGTCAGTTACACGACCTCATAGTCGGTGTTAAATAAACTACCCTGGGAGTATTCAAAAAATTTTTTTTAGCTGAGCAAAACCTTATGACACATAGTCGCTAATAATTTGGTATGCATAGTAATATGTTCTTACGCAAATCACTGCTGAATAGCTTTGTTGAAGTATTCATCGAGTGGGTGGTTCCCCATAAGTAAATGGCTTCAAAAGTATTTTGCATATGAATATATTTCCGGCGTATACGGTGTCTCACCTAAACCCCGGTAGGATACTAACACACGGGACGAGCGAAAGGTACGTAAGAACGCAACGATGTACTAACATCTCTTCTGTAGGACTATCAAATTGAATTGACCGACGACAGTACACACTCCGGGGGATATCCCGAGCTGCTGGCGAATAGGGTAGTATACTTAGCAAACGAAATGCTTTTTTGATTCGTCCCACGATGGATACGCGACTATATGTTTGGAAGTCTAAATATAATTTCAGTGACAGCTTCGTTGTAATTTATTTGATATTAACTACAGTTGCAAAAATGGTGTATGCTAGCAAGGGGATTTCAAATTTTTGCTCGTAATTTAACTCCATATATTCGATACGTAACCATAGGTTGTTCTGTTCCGTTTTCTGTAACTAGAAAGTTAGAAGTTTATTACAGTCCTGGAGTAAAACGAATCCTAAAACTAAACGTGCAGTATATATACTGTAGTTGAAATAATGGCTAATATCTGTGATATAGGAAGGACTTAAGTTCAACAAGTTGATGGCTGAACTTCAATTGCACTGTTCAATTTTGATTGTTGGGATACACACCTATTCCAGGCATAGAATATATTCTGTCCATGCTCGCCTCACCAGTCAAGAGAGACACTCAAGCGCTTGTCAGTGATCCTATTGCGAAAATACGCGTGTTAGATAGACATAATAGAAGTCCTCATTCAATGTGGTACTCCCAAGATGCTCTTTCTATCTAGTCGGGGTACTAACACCTACACACACGAGGTAGAGCCATTACGGCGCTTACTGTTTTGAAATCTATACAAATCACTGACAGTAATTGTGAAGTGTGAGGTGCAATTGTATGTTAATCATCAAGTAAAATGCTCAGAGATTTCGCTATTCTCGTGCACCCTGGCTTGTCTTTCATGTTTTATGGTTAGGTTGACCCAATTCTTTGCATGCATAGAAGAAATGGGATCAACCAGAACAGAGGGGAGGTTTTACCTCGTTTGTTACATACATGAGACAGTACAACGAATCATCGAAGCGAACATCGCTCAGGCGATGGTTGTCTCATATGAAATACAAATATAATTCTGGTGTGAATATATGCCTCAAATATTGACAGGGCGCTTAAGTAATATCAGACCTGTAACGATGTATCTCTGGTGTCACCCAAGTTTTACTTATAACTGAGGCAGTATGTAAAGAGTGTTTTGATTAATGCTAAGTGCAGCTAAGCACCTGACAAATCCCGATCAATGGTCCCCATTAAGTGAGCTATAGAGAAGATCTTTACGTATGAATTAACAATGTCACGAAGTGGCTTGGTTTGTACGTATCAACAAATAACTTAGCTGACAAATAGTGAATGTTGAATGGAATTGATATGTATATAAACCTGCGACATTATAATAATGTCGGCCGTGAGCTGATGAGCTTAGTTGTGTATAAAATGTCCACTCAAATTTGTCTCTTTGAAACTGGTCTGTTATAGATTTCGACACTACTTCTCTGTTATATAAGTGTAATTGTTTAAGACTATACAGGGCTAAGATTGGGGTAGGTGACAGATCAATGTAGTGCATATGTTTGGTTTACGTTTGGATATGTTTGTTAAACTACTAGTAATTATTATCAGTGTCAACTTCAAAATTAATAAATGCACACACCGCTTCATATATACTCCAGATATGACGTATATATTCTACATCGACGCCATTTCTTCATAACTCTTTACTACTTGTGCATCGAATCCACATTTTTTAAAACAAGAAAGCATGTAATGCGATATGTAGTGACCATTGCATTTTACAGCATCGCTCTTGTATTATATTGTGTCGTGCACCTTACAGCGTCTCTATTGCACATCTGATTTTGACGTATTATGATCAAGGTGTAAGGCATATTAATGAACAGGAATGTGAAAATTAATTCCATCTTACCAGTGAAGCACATTTAAACGAATAACATTGTATTTGCATTACAACATGTTGTTGATTAATTATATTTAATGTGGTACAATAAGTACATATATAGTAGTAATAATGGCTAAAACATAAACTGAAATGTCTTCTGTGTGTTTTTCAAATTTGACTTATACGTACGTCCCTCTAAATGTCATCGGCTAGGCCATAAGCTACTTGCATATAACTTGGTGGGTTAACGCAGTGAAGTTTGAAAAGATAAAGATGTGTACTAGCATAAAATATAGGTCGCTATTTGAATCGCAGTGACAATAATATCAAAATATGGAGTATAATTCTTAATGTCTATTCATAAAAGTTCGCCCCTGAAACCACGCCTATGTTATCATTAGGTCAACTATTGTGACATGTTTGAAGTCAACATGAGTTGCGGTAAATGCACAAGGATACACTGGGATGCATATTAATTGAGAAACTCTATTCATACTAGTTTATAGATGACAAACACCTTCCAATTATCCATATATCACATTACACCATGAATTTGTCATGTATTTAATTTGAAATCGCCAAAAGCGATTGGTGTTATTTTTTACGCATGCGTCCTGTACCGTAATATCATTACACGTACTTTTCTACTGTTCAGATAATAAGATGTTGCACTATGACGATGTGCTTGAGGACTTTGTGGGCGAGTTTGGTACCTACCAAATCATATGTTACATTGTGCTCGGAATGACAGCCATCCCGACAGGACTGATCATAATTCTGCCCGTATTTATGTATGCGTGGACAAACTCCTGGTGCAAGGTGCCTCACATGGCCGACATCAGTCAGCAGTTCTGTATAGACAACTTTACCAGCAACTGCGAAGAGTTAGTCATGAACCTGACTATACCCCGTGAGCGAATTGACGGGGAATGTGGCGTGACGTGGGCTTTCAGTCAGTGCTTTCGTTACAACGTGACGCCATCTGATTGGCTGACGTATGCAGTGGAAGAACCGGATATAAATTCTCTCATTAACAACACTGCTATAGTTCCATGCGACAACGGATGGGACTATGACACGTCTGAGTACAGGTCTACTGTATCCCAGCAGGTTAGTTAAGTTGTATTGCATTGTGCGTTGTGACCTGTTCATCCAATCATGTTGACGATAGTATGCATGACACCAAATCTTATTGATGAGGGCGTCTATACTTTTTGAATGTTGCTGTGTTGCTAGAGATGTATTTTACGCTTGACGTAAATATTAAACTAACTATTACTTTTTTTTTATTATTTCTTTACTAGTTCGACTTGGTTTGTGATCGGTATTATCTTAATGCGTTGGCGTCATCGATTTTCATGAGTGGACAGCTGATTGGCTGTCTTGTAGATGGATACATCATTGACAAGTTAGTAATGTCTGATATTCCAATAGTTCATTGGCGGGTTTCATGGTCACGTGCTGATTATATGACTGACGTCAGCCAGACACATACATCGGCGTCAGACTTGGCAACTTTGACAGAAATTGAACTTGGAACTTAGTATTTTGTCTATATGGTAACGATTACATATATCAGCAATGTAACCAGAGGAACATGAGATAATATGAGAAGTGAGGTTTTTTTAATTTATGCAGCAATGTTCTTGTGACTTTAATTTTTCCAGCAAAATTGTGTACCCCATTTATTGTGTATTAAATCCCCAATAAAGTGCAATCCCTACGACTCCTTCATTCTTTTATTTTTACTGATCTGATGTTATTGAACACTTTGTATAAAATATGATTTGCTTTGCAGAATCGGTATAAACTGTACATCGGCGATGTACGTAATGCTTTTTTCAAAACAGATCACGCAATGATATCACCACGTGTCACTATCATTACAGACTTGGGCGAATGAAGGGTCTTATTATTACAATATCTGGATCGTTAGTGTTTGGTATTGCACAAGCTTTTGCACCAAATTATATCATCTTCAGTGTGCTGTCCTTCGTTTTGTCGGCATGCATATATGGAGTATATCTTTCCGGATTTGTCCTAGGTATGTATCTTTGTCTTAACAATGCGTACTCAGACAATGCGTACTCTGAGTTTAATTAAGACTATTGATTGATCTAGGGGGTCGGCAAACCATTTCTAAATATCTGATTAAGTAATTGTTGAAACTTAGATTGTTGTATAGTCTTACAATTGCAAACTCAATTTATAGATTATGTATTTCGATAACGTTTGGGCATGATTTCATTTTCATAACGTTTAAGCATTTGACAATAAGGCCATATAACATTATTTTTTAGCACAGTAGCAAAACAAACATTTTCAAGGTAGCACTCTGAAAGTATTATTTGAATTCGTCAGTGCAGATAATCTTTTATAATTCAGTTACAACGTATATGTTAAATCACTTTGATATGTCTTTCCAACATAGCGTGTGAATACGTTGGTCCATCGAAGCGCACAACAACTGGTATGATATATCCAATGTTTTATAGTATCGGCTACATGTTGCTAGCGTTACTAGCATACTTCGTTCGTGAATGGTGGATTCTACAACTAATAATCGTGTGTCCCTGTATTCTATTCCTGAGCTATTATTGGTAAGTATTGAAATTCTCTAGAAGACATTCGTCGAGAGAGTTTTAACCTTTCATTATCGCGAAACGTACGTTTTACCATCACCGCTAGATAATTTTTGAGAGGACTTCATTTAATATTAACACGCTACGGTTAACTGATTTGTTTACAGGTTTATACCAGAGTCGCCGAGATGGCTGATATCCATGGGGCGTACGCAAGAAGCTGAGCGGATAATAAAGCAATGTGCTAAAGTCAACGGAAGATCTCTACCCGTAGACTTGTTCAATGATTCGTGGATAAAAGATTCAAAAGAGGTACAGATGATTTCTCAAATAGCTGCATGCTGATTTAAGTTTCTGTGGGTGGAGTTATATGGCATCAGAATTACATTGTATTGATTTATTTTGGACTTTTATTTAGTTTGCTTATAATTGTGAGTGAAATGTTTTGTCTGTCTCTAAAAACGTTATAGTTCTATTTTCTAATTGTATTCTAATATAGGATATATCAGATCAGCACAAACATGGCATATTGGATCTATTTCGTTACTCCAACATGAGGAAGACTACGCTGATACTGATTTATTGTTGGTAATGCTGTTAACTCACTCACTATAAATGATTAAATGGAAATCACAAGTTTGAGGTTTGACCTTGGCGCGACTTGCACTTATTGCCGCCGGTGACTCCTTCGATACCTTCCAATAACATGAAAATTACTCAATTAAAGCTTGGAAACATCTCAGTTTGTACTCGTTCATCTGCACAACAGTCAAAGTCGCCATCTTTGTTTATATGAGACCCATATATCTCGCACATACGCAGCGCAACGACTACCGCGCTTTAAACATAAGACCAACAAAAAGTACACCTGTTCCTGGTCAGCTCGCGCGTCTGTTCAAAAATTGTTTTTCTTGATGTTTCATATAAAAAAGAAAAAAAATCGAATCGTTTTTAAAAGAAACTTTGGATCAGAAACAGGTTTAGGTTTTGCGGTATATTACATTTTGTATTGATATATTCATAACTTGTATATTCCACAATGTACTTGACCTTGACTTTGAGTTGACAGTCGATTGTTCATGTTAAGATTAAAGCCTATTCATAAATGACCCCCCATTTTTTTCAATTTTGCAAGAAACTGTACTTAACGACATTATAATCAAAGGTCACAGTCACATTTTACTATTATTTCTTATCATATACATAATATTGTGGTATCATATGACAAAATATTGGCTATATCAAGTCAAATCATAATATATGTTTCCATAGTATATTACCATGCGATTCATGGCCAACATTTTTCAAAATTTTACGTGGTAATAGTAGCTAATATATCAGAATAATTGATTCCTACGTTTTATCACCAATAATTAATTTTAGTTTTATAGCATTTTTGCATTACTTTGATCCATGCAAACTCAAAATTAAACTTTAACAGAAAAAAAAACAATAACTATACTCCTTTTGTTTTATAGGGTAACTCTGAACCTGGCATATTATGGGATATCATACGACACATCTAATCTCGGAGGCAATCCTTATCTCAACTTGTTTATTGCTGGCGCTGTGGAAATACCTGCATACGGCCTCGGTATTTTTGCGATGGAGAGCTCCGTCCTTGGGAGACGTGGATCTATAATGATTACCTTTCTGTTTGGCGGTGTGTCGTGCATTTGCCTAGCATGGCTGCCACCTTGTAAGTTTACAATACATATGGGGAATGGCGTTAAAACAATGCCGGTGATTTGTTTAGCTTTTATTTAAGACACATGTGTAGAGAAATTTTAAGTATATTTGTCAACTGGTTCTAGACTAACATGTACTATTCCAACAACAGGTGGTGATTTAGTTTGGTTGGGAATAACACTTGCTATGTTTGGGAAGTTCGGTATAACATCCGCATTTGGAATGATTTATGTTTATGGGGCGGAGTTATTTCCAACTCCGCTAAGGTAAGTGCTGTGTTCATAAATAGTCACTCCGCATTGTGTGATACTGTACCGCTGACTGCTTATGGTCAACACTAAATTCCACTCTCTGATATAGGCCAGTAATGTGCTTGAATATCTCCAAGGAGATTATTGACCATTAGCATACCGCACACCATCAGGTTCCACGCTAGAAACAACGTGTATTGTTCGATATGGGGCACAATCGACACTTACAATGCGTGCAAAGTACATTATTTATTTACTCAAAATTCGAACACACGCTGCGTGGCGCTTAAAGTGGGGAGTCGTCGCCTGCGCACGCGTCAGATGGCCACATCGTGTCATAGTTTACAAACAAGCGTCTACCCATGAGCCTTTGCGTTTTTAGCGCGTGTTGTTATCGTCGCTTGAGACTCAATTCCCGCGCGTGCGCATACGACGACCCTTCCTTTTTAATATACATGTTTAAGAATTGACAAACCTCTCATTTGTTACAGATCGATCGGGGTTGGTATGTGCGCCACGTTTGCACGCACGGGCAGCATACTAGCACCTCAATTAATATTAATTGGTGAGGCATTTCCACAGCTCCCTCCAGTTGTGTTTGGCGTAACGTGTATCGTGGCTGGTTGCTTGATATATATTCTACCAGAAACACGGGGACAAAAATTGCCGGAAACGATATTGGAAGCTGAACAATTTGGGCGGTAAGTAAGTTTTGTTGTTTTTAGAAAAAGTGGACATGGTTTTTATAATTCTTATCTCACATGAAACTAAAACTTGGTGCCCATTCTAACAGAAAATGCACACAATTACTAGGCATTTGCATCCCATAAATATATTTAGGGTGACCAGTCAAGATACTTCGTGTCCACATAGGTGTCTGTGGTGTACGCAAAAAGCATTGAAATTTAAATCAAATTTGGAATGATTTTCGGTTCTAACAATTAACAACGCCCACCCCATCATGGTCGATTTTTTATCATCGAAACCCAATAAGAATCCACCAACTCAATGACACAGAAATTAATACCAATCCAAATATGTAAATTATTCTGGTATTCTTGTTACGTGTTGGACGTCATGGATCGCTTCTTTTACAGAAAAAAGAAACATAGCCTATCATATCCTGGTTATGGTGAGATCAGAAGACTGGAAGTAAATGACAATTATGAACTGAAAGGATACTGAACACCACAGTTTGAGCCATCACTGGGTTGCAGTTACTTTATATATATTCTCACTAATATTTCTGACATTTATAAATACAATCGAGTCTTATTATTGTTATGTTTTAGTAGAAATGCACGATAATAAAGCAGCCTAGTGTGTTCAGACGAAAACATTTACAAAAGTGGCAGCTGTGTTGACGAATCATTTTTCGCCTATTTTTGCAGAATTAATGTTTTATTTGACCCATGTTTTGTTCAATATAATCATTTCTAATTTTTCAATAAAATTCTAATACATAATAAACCTATACTTTGGTGTGTAATGAAACAGTAAAACTACTATCGTATGTAACACGTAGCCAAATCAGGCGTCGATGACAACAGGGTCCCTGATTGTCTGATAGTCTAAAAGTGATAATATACGTTAATTAATTAATTAATTAGAACGTTACGTGATGATATCGAGCTTAGTATTACCACTTTGTCCCAGTATTGATTCATTGTTATGATGAATTTCCGTTTTTGGTAGAATTTAAGATTTTGAATTTGCAGATGAATGAATACAATGATCCATTGAGTCCTAATGCAGCGCCACGAACACCCACCCACTGGCACAGTCTGGGCAATTTATATATTTTTAAATTTAAAATTTAATAAAAAAAAAAGCGAAATGGAGGTGTTAACGCGAAATCCCCTGTAACCGCGAAATCAGCCAGACTGGACGTTTTTGCCGCGCCCTCTGTGGTGAAAGCAGGAACTGGTGTGTTTTCATACTAGTTTTTATGTTAATGAGCAGAATGACAGGCAAGAACGTTATCCAATCAGAGTAATTTGACCTTTTAATCTATATCTAGTTAACCTTAGTACCTGAAGGCTTTTCTGCTATTTTTCTCAATCGTCAATCATAACAAACGAATTACTATTTATAACGTTTCGTACAAATTATTCTAATGGAGACAAGTAGCCTGTGTGTAGCTTTATCTCGCCTGGGTCACAGTGAAGCGCGATCTGCACAGAAGACCCACATTACCTCATTATGCAGCGCGCACGCCCCCACTCCTTTTCTGTATCCATTCAGTGATGTCACTGCATATCATGAATAAATAATAGCAACATATTAGCAATACAGCAAAATCACGGCATCCTGAAACTTACGGTGTTACGGTGACAGATGTATAATAATATGAGGTTATTATGTCGACTCGACAAGCTATAAACGGGACAAGGCTTGTTTAAAGCGGGAAGGTAGTCACCTGCGCAGGCGCGGGGATTGAGTCCCAAGCGATGATAACAGCACACGCTAAGAACCCAAAGGCTCATGGGTAGACGCTTGTTTGTAAACAATGACATGCAATGGCCACCTGACGCATGCGTAGGTGACGACTTCCTCGCTTTAAGTAGTGGTGATGAGAATGCAATGATTTGCAAAAATATGTGAAAAAAGCTATGCAGAGAACAGAATTACTCTTGGAGAACCCTAAAATCACAAAATACTTACACGCTGACAACTGTGTCAGCACAAGAGTATTCTTTTCAGATGACTGAAAGTTCAACCAATGTGACACGTTTGATTAATCTACGAGTTGAAGTACGCGCCTGTAATACTGAGACGACGATGGTTAATTGTGTGGACCAAATGGCCCATGACGGACGACCCGTGCCGGATCACATACTTTCCATTCATCTCCTTCAAATGAATAACATCGACTATAGAAGATATAAATACAGCACTAGCCTCCGGCAAGCGACCGTCGTATCACAAACATAGGCGGTATTTGCAACTGACGTATGTCCACGGGTAAAACATTACCTACGCATCCTATTCGATCCCCACGAATAGTGTGTGAGTAGGCGACAGACAGTATGTAGCGTAAGATGTTCTGGTATACTTCATCGCAAACTTCATCGGCTATTACAAATTTTAAAAAATGTGACATTGAGAAAGTTTGTTAAAGCATGTCGTCGAGTTTTTATACTGTAACAGACAAGCACTATCACTAGTCACGTGATGTACCATATATGTCATTTTGATATAGTCATAATATTGTCAAACAATAATAAACCAATGAACAAGAATTACGGTTTATTAGATATTGTACATGGAAATTAATGACATATGTAGTATGTACCACAATTTGACCGATACATGATAGTGATTGATGTGTAAATAATAAGATTGATACAATTTAAATACATGTAACATGCAAATGAACTATAATAGCAACAACACTAATGTTGACAACACAAATAACAATAACTTTATTTAACAACGTTATAATTTCATTTGTCCCACAGTTCATGCTATCGTCCCAAACAAATATTGTTGAGAACAGCCATTTGCTGCGAACGATTCAGGGGGACAATTTGAATACAAATTCTACACCCAATCGTTATACATAGTAATCAACGTGTTATTGGGAGCTTGTGTAATAGTTATTCAGTAGTATACTAAAGTTTCTTCATACAAATAAAACAATGATAATAGTATTGATTATACATGGATATACGTTGAGTTAAATACAACATGATGCGACATGGTCATCTTTAATGAAAAACCTATGAATTTGCCGAAAAATTTATATAACAGTTTAATGAAACATGTTAAGATATAGTGTGTTATATTTAATTGAAAATAAACTACTGAAATTGTGCTTTCAGTATTTTAATGTGTTACAATGATTCATAATACGTGTGAAACGTTACGGAATACACATTAGTATTTTCAGACAAACATTATAAAATATTTATAAGATAGCTAGGTAGGCGGAATACATTCTAATTAAAAGTTGTACATAATTTTTATCTCGTACATTCCCGTACACCTCATCTTGAAATCAGATCACATTCCCATAATTCAATATCATGACAACGGTGTTGCTACAGACGATTCATCTCATATTTCCCATCAGCCTCAACTTTCATGATTTCTCCATATCCGGGATACCAGCGATTCTTCTTCTGTTTTCGCTTTCTGACAAATGTATAAAACTCACACCATGAGTTGTTATAATAAGTGTGTACTTGCATGTGAAGTTGGCCAAACATTATAGTTTAAAAACAAATACTCATAATGTGTGTTTACTTACTTTCCGAACTCTTCAGCCTCCATTATTGTCTCAGGTAATTTCCTACCTCTAGTCTCAGGCAGTGGCATTATCAAAAGTCCAGCTATAATGGACGTGACACCAAACACTACTGGTGGCAGTGGCTCCCATAGTTGACCGAGGAAAATTAGTTGAGGCGCTAGCATAGCACCTATGCGAGCTGTCATGGAACACAAGCCAACACCGATAGACCTTAATAGTAGTTAAATTTATAATTGAAAATGTTATATCCATCAATGAAATAAATACACAAGAATGGCTAGGTAGCAAATATTTACCTTTGTCATAGGCCATACATCGATATATCTGGTTAATATTGAGGTATAAAACGACTTCTACATTATTCAGAAAAGACATTACCATCACTGTCACAAGACAGATAGGTGCCAAAAAATCATGTCTTTTGCATTGGTTTTTGCATATATTAGCACATGAACGGTGGCCGATTGGATGCCATATTCGGGAGAATGGCATACCTAAAAGCTATTCCAGCTAAGCGTGTATTTCAGTCAGTTTGTATGCGACAGTCAGACATAACCACACCTTCACAAAAAAACAACATTGTACGCTCATTGTTTCATTCATTGATTTGCTTTGCGTTGAAGTCACATGATATACTTGATAAAACAAGCCCGCCTTTTCTATAATGCAAAATAGCCTTATACATCGGATTAAACATTAAGTATATGCACAGCAACGTTGAACAGTGACTGTGAGTTATTCCATTACATAACCTCGTATTGCCCGGCCTCGTAACACTATGGGACAATACATTCACGTATTACACCCGGCCCAGCGCGCCCGACTTTCTAAATTACGTCGGTGGTTGGAGTCACGCCGAGATAAAATTGTAATTACACCTATAAGGTATATGATACAATCTTTATAGACTGGATACTGATTTGCTGCCTTCGATCTTTCGGCTTATACGCCCTCGCAAGCTCGGGCGCTTTCGCCGAACGACCTCTTCTCACAAAAGATTATTATTCAATAAATTTGTTTGGTAGTGCGTTTAATATTGAAGATATCAATACCGTAAGCTTATTAACATGTACCTTAAAGGTGTCGGAAATAGTTCCGCAGAGTACAGGTAAACTATAGAAAATGCTGCCGTGATGAAAAACTTTCCTGTCATGGCCAATGTAATTCCTATCCAGACGTAATCGCCACCTATTAAAACAGGATATGACGTCAGGCATTGGGGTTAAGATATGAGCACACACGTTTCACTGTAAAATAGTTTATAAGTAGCATTAAGTCTAGTAATTGTGCAATGGTACCGCCCTATAGTCTATGTAATAATATCACAATTTTAATACATACTTACATGGAGGAACAAATGTCAAAATAATACATGTTACTCCACCAAATATCATTACAAACATCATCGATCCTCGTCTTCCTAACATTGGGAAATCAATCATAAAAGCACCACACAAGCAAGCAGGTATCTCAACAGCTCCAGAGATGAACAAATTAAGATATGGATTTCCACCCAGACTAGATGTATCGAATGATATTCCGTAATAAACAATACAAACAGTCACCCTACAACGAGACGTTTGATGGTTATGTATACGACTGGTAACATAAGTAACATGTACGAAGTCCCGTTATTTACGTAATGATGCAACATGTTTACAATGGGCACTGTTAATGCGCTGTTTTCATAATTAGTTGTGTGAACACGACAAGTGGAAACTGTTTTATATGAAAATTAGACTCTAACAGAAGAAAAACATGCTTCCGTTCTGGTTGTACAAATAGTGTAATAACGTCGAAGCGCCACATACAATTACCAACAGAAGCAGAGCGAGAAGATAGTAGCCGGACACCATGTGATTGTTAGTTTTCTTACTTTATATTCAAATCTTACCAGTTGAAAAACAAGATTAACGTTTTCTTTCGCATGTTTGGATACTTCAACAAACTCCAGACATCGTAGTTGGAATTACGTTCCTGGTGCGAATATTCCTGCATACAGAAATGTTTCAATGGGTAACATTCATTTTAACATATACGAAGTCACATTATTTATAAAATGATGTAATATTACTAGGAACTAATTTAATAACTGCCAACCTTCATCGACTTTTCAATGTTTTTCAAAGCTTCACGGAATTCTTCTTCAGGTAACTCCACTTTATTTATTCTGCAGCATTTTCTTATGATGGCTTCCGCTTCGTCGGTTCTACCTTTTGATATCAGCCATCTTGGTGATTCCGGTATGATCCTATGTTTAAAAAACGGTCTCATAATGAAAGAGTTTTATTCGCAAAGTAGATAACACCAAAACACAATGCGTCCATGAACAATGATCCTTTTCAATTGCAAAATTCAAAATCCAAGTAAAGAAATTGATACTTACCACCAGTAACTGAGAAACAATATACATGGAGCCATAATTGATAACTGTAGAATCCACCAATGACGAATGAAATACGCATGTAGTGAAAGCTGCATAAAACCCACGGCAAAAAATATAGGATATACCATTCCTGTCAGTGTACGTTTAGAGGGGCCAACATATTCACATGCTAAAATTGGATAAACAAAATACTGATTAAATGTTGGCAAAAGTTATGCTAGATACGCAGACAGTAATAAATCGAGCATTTCGGTATATATATATATGTATATATATATATATATATATATATATATATAACGCATGTTGGCCTCAGTAGTTGACCGATGAGGACTGGTTCAAAATAAATTACACCGACCTAGGATAAACCCGGCTAGGTATAATCCATATCCACTAGCGGCCATGAAGAAGCGTACAACGACAAAGACGATATAGTTCGGTGCAAATGCTTCAATGGTACCAAGAATTATTGTAACTATCAGTGTCACAATAAAACCTTTTCTACGGCCAAGTCTAAACGAAAAAATACATGAGTAGCATGTATAGAAAATATCCACAAATACATCTATAATTCGGTTGTCAGAATTCCCACAATTAAATTTGAATTAACTGCATGTCTGCTTATGAAATCAAACACAGAGACGCATGCTTAGATGCATTCCATTGTCGTATAGAACACGAAGTCACGTGTCGTGATACAATTTCATCGAAAATCTAACGTGAAGCCGCGCGTGTTATACTTAAGCTATAGAGTAATACGAGATGATGCGCGTTGTTGTTACAGGAACGCTGGTTGGTGGACCCAGCTGTTTGGCGCCCCCAATCAAATCATTCAATTTATCTGAGATCAAACACAGCTTTTCCTAACGCAATCATATACAGGGTCATAGGGGACAGCATGCACAATGTCACAAATACATCCTTGAATATTCTTGTCTATTATACGACTTACCTATCAAATATATTTCCTACAACAAATGAACCAACAAACAGTCCGAACATAAAGATTGTGGAAACCATGGCGTTCAGGTAAAATTTATCACAAACTAGATTAAACTACAATACGAGAATAAACATGATTGTATTATGAATCAAATTACAATAATAGCTTCACTTAGCATTATCAGTACTACTGTGCGTACTAGGTTATTGTATATATATATACTCGGATTTAAACAATATATATATATATTGTTTAAATCCGAGTTAATGATAGTGTTGACATTTGTGTTGGTTGGAATAACATTCGGAATGAGTCTCAAATACGTTTACTGCTCCATCAAAAACAAGTAAAAAAAGCAACGTGAATATCGAATAACGAATAATAGTGAATTTGATCAACAATAATATTTTGAGAGTCATATATTTTTAGCAGTTAACATTTTTAATGATGTTGCCCTAAATGACAAGCATCAAAGCAAGCTAGATTTGTTTTAAAAGATTATTTTGCCGATAAAGAACTGAGATATTATAAAAAAAAAAATGAATTACGACGACGGTATTGAAAAACAAGTCAAAATGTACCCATTGACGTTTAACCTGGTAGCGCTATACAATTGAACTTAATATATATTCAGTTAGTGTGCGAGCTTACCTCCTGAGACACTGTTGACTTGTATTGTGATCTGTCATACTCCCATCCATGATCACATGTTATTTTTGCTGTATTGTTCAATGACGTAGGAATGTTTGGTTCATTAGCATATGATACAACGGATACGTTACCAATATCATAGCGATGACACTGTTCAAACCTCCAGGTTGCGCCGCAGCCGATGTCTATCTTTTCTCTGGGTATGGTCAGATTCTTTATCAACTCCTCGCAGTTACTGGTATAATTGACCACACAGAACTGACTAGCAATCTCGTTATCATACGGAATCTTGCACCACGTGTCAGTCGTTGCAAGCATGAAGACCGGTGACATCTGCAGACAGCCCCATGGAATAGACGCTATACCCAGAAGAACAAAACATATTTTCTGAAAAGTACCAAATTCTCCAACGAAATCCCTCAATAAATCATCGTACTGCACCATCCTGAATCTCCTGTAACGAACAACAGTGTTTTGTTATCAAATGGTCGACAACATTGTCCTTATTTCAATCACCAGGTGCGCCAACGGAATGTAGTAGAATCAGTGTTTTGAACAGGGGCGTTTGATTAATATTAATATTAATAAAAAAAACACACACGTAAGGCCAGAGGGACTGTCGACAGTCTATTTAGTCCCAGTATCATCTAATTTGGTACTCATTATTGTATGTCTCATTGCGGATATACCACTCAACTACGTCAGTTTTGAATGTTTGTGGCAAAGGTCGTTGTTTATATATATATTACACAGCCTATTGACCCAGCATCAATGGTCACATTGTTAATAATAATAAACATGCAAGAAAAGCACAGCCCTAATAGTTTCTAATAGAATGGTTATGAACTGGAATGTTAAATGGGGACAACTCTTGTAAGCAATATTGCCACGTTTCCAATTCAATTTGATTCATCCACAGTGAGACACTGGCAACATTGTAAAACTTAAGACGAATACTCACTGTAGACATAGTAACCACGTTTACCGTAAGCTGGCAATTGACCAATCACACCATTGAACCTTTATAAGGTCCTTGTGTGATTCGTAGCTGGACCTCTTAAACGTCAAATTTCCGTAAATACATATTATATACTTTTTTTCAACGAATTAGAATTTACTCGTATTTCATTGACACCATAATAGCCTAAAATTACCGTTATTGATTTTTTTTCAAATCCTGTGAATCGTATGAAATCACTGCTATGAACTGCTACCGTGTTATGTCCATCGTTTGCGTATAATACAGCGATTGAAACAACACTATTGCGATTCACGGTGTACAATAAGCCTTTATTTTAGGTCACTGTGTGATTCGAAGCTGGGTCTCGTACGTAAATTTCGTAAACACGTAATCAAACTTTCGTGTGTTTTATTTGACGTCATAGATGGCCAAAAATGTCGATTTATCCACAGTGACACTGGCAACATTGTAAATTTTAAACCAAAGATTAATACTCACTGTAGACATAACAACGGTTACCGGTGTTACGGTTTTTTATTATAATTTCACCCAACAAGTGAAGTGCTGTTTAGATAGTCCTATAACACTCATTTGTAACATACAACATTTCAAGCAAAACATGTCGAACACAGGATAATGACACAAAACAATGTAGGTTAAACTCTTGCTGCCGTTTCAGCAGCTCCGGTTAGCCTATGTTACGCCCAGGGAATATAGTGCAACATAAGCAAACTGAATTATACTGTGAATGTGGTTAAGCTGAAACATACGTACCAGTTTTACCCTATTTATCACTCACCCTACTTAGTAACGTCGCCAACCAATGTATTGTGAAGGGCAGTCGAGGACTAGACTTAAAGATGCACTTTTTTTAACTTTGACATGATATGCATTTACAAGTGACTTCTTTCGAACAATGGCAGCGCGTGTTGTTTGTGTCTGGTGCCTGGGAATTTCGAAGGTCAGGGGATATATATTCAAAACAGTTTGTATTGTTATGTATATTAAAACTGACATGCAAGTAACCTTGGAGACCGCATTCAGCACGTCAACGACATAGACGGAGCTGTTACCAAATGTTTAGCGTTCTAAGTGAATATATAAAGAGTTTGATGTTGACGTCTCTCGAATTTTTCTAAAAGAACGTCAGGCAAATGTATTATAATTATATTTTGGCAAGATACAATACTTTATCGATTAAAAATGCCATTTGTACCTGGTTTTATTCTCTAATTCGCTGCGCACTCCAGCAAATGCAACTCAGATTTCCCTCGCAATATTTTTCCGTCATCGACTGTAGCCATAAACTGCATGTGATAGTATACTGCAACGCCCTCTAGAGTCAAGACTTTGGAGGTATTTTCATATCAGCCGTGGGCACCGCAAAATTCTCATCGGCATTTAAACGTGAATCACTGGCATATTTATGTAGAGCAGCCAACCTCGAGTCAACCTCGCGAAAGAGGACGAGGTAGAAATAATAGATCCAGAGATTCGGAAGCAGCTGACGAAAATACAGTCGTAGCACTGGTACGTTTTATTCAGTTCACAGTCCCTCTATCACAAGAGGGACTGTGTTAAGTTGTTGAGCCGCTCTTTTCCCAATCGCATGACCAAATTCAACAAGTCATTGAAAATTACACAGCCCCGTATTTTGTTTTTCAATATTGTCTTTATGAGCTCAACAATAAGACATAGCAAAAAAAAACACAAGCGAATACCTCATGACTCATGTCTTATGGTTCCAAGCTATAATAGAGGAACATGTGCAACCATATCACTCTATGTCACACGCTAGTATCACGAAGAGGGTGACACCACATAGTAGACATCGGTAGGCGCGATGTAATCCACCCACCTTTGGGTCTGTTGGGTCAGTGTGCGGGTTCTCGGTGGGATTGAGCCATGCACATTTTATTGTACTATATACTTTTATAATCAAACTCTTTCGCATTTCATTGGTGTCCCGATAAGCGTAAAATTAGCATTATTTTGCATTTTCAAATCATGCGACTAGAATCGTATGAAATCACTCCTACCAACACCTATCTCGTTATGCCTCTCGTTTTTGTAAGATGGTTATTGACATAACACTATTGCGATTCACGGTACACAATGAGTCAATATTTAGGTCAATGTGTGATTTGTAGCTGGACCTCTTGTACGTAAATGTTTTTTTGTGTGTGTGTTTTTTTTTTTTTCATTTTCAACTTATGCAAATCAATCGTATGAAATTACTCCTATCAACACCAATGGCGTTCTCAAGTTACGTCCGCTATTTCCATAAGACAGCGAATGACACCATGCCATTACGATTTGCGGTGCAAAATGAAGGAGCTTATATACTACTATTTGTACTGAATACAAACGCTTAAACTCATGCAATCCAATTTGAACTAGTTTTATAACTGTGGGTAGATTGTTTCAGTTATGCACTTGTTCAATCCGTTTGAAATAATAGAAAGATATTGTGGCAAATATATGCCACAAGTATATGCCTTGTTGAAGTCAGCTTGCTCTTTGCATGCCAAACTTGGTAAAACCATCGCATTATAAAGCATATTAGTAGGTTCAGTTGCAAGATACGGTCTAACCCTTTTTAGAACACCTAATCTTGGAGATATTTTATTACAATTTCATTTATATGAATATCACAATTTAAAATTGAATCAAACATCTATGATCAAACCAGGCACCCATATATTTAAACAAATAGTTTTTTTTTTCAATTGTATGATTGTCAGTTTCGATATTTTAAACCACAACTACTCGATAAACCCAAAAGCAGACATTTAGGTTTTTTCTAAATGACTGGAAATTTTCATTTAATATATCAGATATATGAGACGTCATTCACGATTTTCTTGCAATTAGAAACTTCTAGAGTCTTAATAGTGTTAGAAACATGACTTTAGAGGGCGTTGTCATACAACATGTTTACGACCACAGTCGCAGGCTGGAAAATACATGTATAAGGGAACTTGTAGCTGCGTACAATAAATCAACCCATGTGTGTGTATATGTGCTGTTTATTCACTTTTAATGCATGAATTCTTCTTTAACGAGACCCCTCGGTAAGTCACGGTTTTTGCTTGCATCCCACCACCCGCGATTTAGCGAGGGGTCACTGTATTAGAGAGTTTTGCGTGCGTAGCGGGAACAAAACGTGTTCTAATTTCATTCGCGTTACCTTCTCGAGTGTCAGAAAACGATTAAGTACAAGCGCCCACAACGGGAGCGTAACTGAACAATAACCATGTAAACCCGTCTCTCATTGGACAACCATAATATATCCAATATAATTTGTTATGTCATTCCACGTCCGGAATCAGAATTAGTAGTTAGTTCTCAGACATCTGACAGAGCTCTCGCTATTTCTATCCACTCTCAGGCTGCTGAGGTTCCATGCCTGTTTGCCGAAACCTCTTTCAGTAGATCATTGTCATGCGTTACCATCCATCTAAATACATGTGTCTTCGCAGGAATGGCCATTCTGAAGTGTTTAAGAACAATTCATTTACTTCCCTTTAAACTATAGTAACTGGTTAGCACACGTCGCCTTTCGAGAAAGTGAACGTAAATGCCCGGCATCGTATGCTTTGTTTACATAACCAGCTGACCAGTTGTGTACATTTCAGTGGGTATAAATATCAGCTAAAATGCAACCAATATTTCTTATTTCACCATAAATATACGAAATCACTCTGATATAAAACGTTCCATCAATGTCAGTGACAAATGTACAAAATTGACAGCGAGAAAAGCTCTCGGAAATCAACTACGAGTCAGTCACCTTTATCACGTTCACAACGACCACCGAACGACCCGGCAACCGATGAGGTCATTGGTTCGCGCGGAGGTCATGCATTCGTACGCGCATCCTAATGTCTCTATTATTATTTTAATAACCATTGGAAATCAGTGTGTACTAAAACTAGTACATGTACATTACATATACATTATTCCACAAAACTTTTCAATTATAATGTTTCTCTGATCTAATACAATTACCTAGCTCTGTTTTGAGGACTCAAGGTGACTTCAACATCAAACTCTCTATTTTCGGGGTAACTGCTCCTGTGATCTCGGTTGCTATGTCGTTGTCGTTTTGAATACGGTTTCCACGCTTAATGTATATCAGTTTCAATATGCATGACAATGTACCTGGACGTAGTTCCCAGGCACCATTTTTAATTGTATTGTGTGTCCGACACTAAAAATAAGCGCAGCCATTGTTCGAACGAAGTTGCTTGCACATTGATATCAAGTCAAAGATGGCGACTTCACAAGTCTAGTCACCGAATGCGCAAGTCATTGGTTGGCGACGTTACTAGGTGCTAAATAGCATAAAACGGGTACGTAGAATACTGAACCCCCAATTTGCTTAAGCTGCACTATATTCCCTGGGCGTAACATAGGCCAATCGGAGCTGCAAAAAATTCAGCACGAGTTAAACAACATTGTCATACCCTGTGTTCATCATCTTTCACTTGAACTTTAGTATGTTACAAATGCGTAATATAGAACTATCTAGCCAGCACCTACAAGTTTTGGGTGAATTGTAATGAAAACAGCGGTTGCTATGTCTACACTGATTATTCATCTGAGATTTTACAATGTTGCTAGAGTCATTCATCGTCGCACGCCACGGCCTCGACCTCTTTTACGGCAAGCTTTATTTCGTTGAGTCTCGAAGCGAAAATAAACTCTGGCGGCGAGATTGGAGTCACTGTACATGTTAATACGGTTGATTTGGAAACAATTAGAAAGAAATGAGAGTTAGTATTACTGGTTGATTGTAAAAAACTATCTTCGGACCTGACAAGGCTGTGGTTTTTGTTCACGTTTATTTGTGTTAACAATGGCACCATTGAAGATAGGATAGGTCAATGGGTTTTGTATTATCTGTAAAAGGACAAGTCATTGTGTTAATGACACAGTCCCCGTCCAAAATTGTGTGATCTGACATATCAATTTGATGCTGATGAAGTCATTGAGATTATATTGAAACCATTAATAGAAGATGGATTTGTAAAAAAAAATATGATTTAGTGCTTTTACACGAGAATTGGACATTGGGCAGTCATATTGACTCAAATTACAAAAATAATGTTCATGTTGATGTATCTATTGGTATACTATCTTTAAACAAAATTTAAACAAAAATGATCATTGCATTCATGGGAAAGTAGACATGGGTATCAAGAAAAACAAAATGGCCACCAGTCAGCCATATTTGTTCAAATCACAGAAAAAGTATGACGACATGCACCTATAACCAAATATGTATGATCTTCATACCAAGTTTGATCCGAATCGGCCTAGTCATCTCTGAAAAACAGCTCCGGACATGTAAAAAAGACGATTTATAGTGCTTTTACATACAGATTTGGCGTCAGTCAGCCATATTGAATTGAATCACAAAAATAATGTTAGTGCAGTCGTATCTCTTGGCATACAATTGAAAGAGAAACGTTTGTTGCATTCAAGAGAAAGTACATAGCATGGGTACCATGAAAAACAAAAGTGCCGCCAGTTGGCCATATTTGTTCGAATCACGGAAAAATATAACGTGCACCTATAACCCAATATGTATGATAACCATACCAACTTTGATCCAAATCGGCCTAGTCATTTCTGAGAAACAGCTCCGGACATGTAAAAATTACGATTTAGCACTTTTACATGAAATTTGGGCGTCAGTCAGCCATATTGAATCGAATCACAAAAATAATGATGGTGTAGTTGTATCTCTTGGTATACTATCTTTCTACAAACTTTAAACAGAAACGTTCATGCCATTCAAGTGAAAGTAGCATGGATACCATGAAAAACAAAATGGCCGCCAGTCGGCCATATTTGTTTGAATCACGGAAAAAAAGTATGACGTGCATCTATAACTAAATATGTAAGACATTATGTATTGTCTTCATGTAAAGTTTGAATGAAATTCGTCAATGGGTGTCCGAGATATAGCTCCGGACGTACGTACGTACGGACGGAACGAACCCAAAATAATAGTCCCCGTTTTCGGACGGGGACTAAAACAACATAATGCTCCCAGGTAGTAATCAGTGGCGGTGGGATGGTGGGGGGGGGGGCAAGGGAATACGCGACCTCTTGCGCAAGGAATGGTGAGCAGATCTCACCCCTAGCCGAGGACGCTTACGCGAGTGATCGTTCCATATTTAGAATTCGCGTTTCCTAATATGGGAGGATGAAAATACAATACCGCAAAATTATGGTACGCTGTAACTTATGGCGTTACCATGACAGATGTATAATAATATGTTATTTTCAGTGCATGTTCACTGCATTGTGTACATATTACGTGACAACGAATGCAATATTTTCGCATATTTTTTTTAGTCCAATATCTAATAGATTGTGGGTAGAGGTGCGGGATACTATTACGTAATTTATGAAGTTAGGCCTTCATATTTGAGTTACCAGATCTTTAATTGGTACACGTAATTCGACGATAAACAGAGAGAAGAATGAGTGCAGAGTTGGCGAATTCCCCGTATGTATTAAATTATTGCATCACAAATTTGAAATCGACTGACAGATTGACCTATTAAATCCTGCATACATTACTTTTTTACATGCTTGATTCAAAAGTGTATTTGCCATACATAACAATAATAATAAATAAGAGAGTTATACCGTAGACCCTAAATTTATGTGTATACCATGACCATTGAGGTGAAATATGTCTTTATCTGCATATACAGATGACTGGTTTGACCAATAATTTAGAGAAGACAGAACTAATTATCATTAGTAATTAGAACGGGGAGTGAGTGCTTCCACAAGGCTTATCCCCAATATTAACCCCAGTGTGAGTACTTAGTGTGTGTTTAGGTCATGAAAAACTGAACTTTTGGGGAAAACTTAAATTATAATTTAAGATAAACTTCAAATGTAATTTTTTTGTGGAGTCACTTAATACTAATATGCCCCAATTTTATGCAGATTTATCAAATGTATGGAGTGATTTGGGTCAGGGAGACCTTATTTCCCCCTTCAAATGAAATCATATGGAATAACAGGCATGTTTTTTATAAATGGCAAAAGTATTTTCACCATTGTTTCTATGCCCTGGGCTGTCCATATTGCAAATATTGTTCAATAATGTAAGGGAATTTAAGACTTAGGAAGATCTGCTGATATTGGGGATAAATCAATCACAGTTTCTTCTTTGGAGAGGTCTTATCTAAGCAATTCCGGCCGAATGGAAAAAGAGTAGCACTGTACATATAACACCAACAAATACTTTGACCATTTTCTGTCAGGGGAAGTTATTAGTTTTAGAAAAGTGTACACAAAAAAGTGTTCGTAAATTAATGACAAATCATTTTTTGTCACTCCCAAAAGCCAGACCTTCTTTAATAATCTGTTTAATAGAGCTTACCTTGACTGGACATTTATTTATTCTCTGCCCTTTAAAATCACAATCTGCAAAAAACTCCGACAATTTCAATGGAAATTAAGCCACAATATTCTTTATACAAATAAAAAGTTATTCCATATGAATTCAGCATTATTAAGTTCGGATGTATACACTTTCTGTCACAATACTCCATAAACATCACCAATTCATCTATTTGATGAGTGTGAAGCAGTAGAGGTTTTATGGAGATATGTGTGGGATAAGGCCTTAGGAATTCAAAATAAATTAACAAGCAAACACATTATCTTGGAAGATAAAATGCATTTACAACAATAAAAAAATGCATTTACAACAGCAAGCTTAAAAAATATGCAAAGTTTTAACATAGCTATAGCAGAGGTGAGATACAATAAAAAGTATGAATTACTACTCTCAACCAGAAAGGGCACAACAAGAACTTGTTGGAAAAAGGGAAATATTTTTCTAGTGTAACAGTACAGGCACTGACATTTGCAATAAACTTCATATTTTGAAATCACGAGATTTAACTATTCAAGCCAAAGCGTTGCCTAAAGCCTAGACTGTTGACAGTTCTCGGGCCTAATAAATATTCACTTATTTTCAAACACCGTAGGCGTGTTAACGAAATGCC